GAAAAGAAAAAAAAAAGAAATGCAAGCTAGTTTGCATTTTTTTTCACATGATTCATGTACTTGTTTCTTGATACAACTTTGTATACAGTTGAATTAAACCGGTTTCGTGGTTCAGTTTTGTTTGTGCTTTGTGAATTGTGACAGGTCGTTTAACCAAGAACGAACTTTAGCTTAAAAAAACTGGCGGCTTTGTAGACAGAACTCAACAGAAACTCGGTTCGATTTTTGGTTCAAGAGTTAATAACCTAAACCGATTAGTAGTAAACTGGTCAACTGTTTTGGCGCGTTTGACTTTTTTTGGTGTCTCGAAAAGGTGAAAGCTTTCTAATAGTGGGCGGTTTGTGGACCAATGAAAGTCAAGAAAAGTTTCTTAAAATACACACATTTACAGGCATGAGGGCTTTCTTCTTCATTTAAGGCATCATCACGTTCTCGCTAGCCCGTTCCTTGCACATAAAGGCATCGAAAACAAACAAGTAGATTCTTTTTTTTTCATAAAAGTTTATAGATAACTATATTTGGATATACATAGTGATTACATAATATTAGAAAGTTACTATAAGCATAAAAGGGTTTAGAATTTGGGTTATTGATATAAAATAATAGTAAAAAATCTAGAAGTAACACAGAATAAAAATGAATTTCGGATTAGATATATAACAAAATTTGTTTCTTATCAACTTAATTTAGTGGCTCGATTTATATGTTTTTATTGGGAACAAATGAAGTAGTTTGAATTATTTATTGATCATGACAACTATAAGAAGAAAACTGATAATTATGTACGTTTTGGTTAAAATAAAATATTTTTTTTTAGCAAAATTAATGTTTTGATGTTGAAGTTTCACCAAGTAGGGCTTTTGACTTGAGATAAACTCAAAGAGTCAGCTTCTTTCTAAAGCTGAAGCAAAGGATATTATCATATGAGGTTTTAATAAGTCAACTCAATCCTTTCTTCACTCTATAAAACCCCTCCTTGTGCAATACCATTTCACCACACCAAAAACACAAAAACATATATTGAGAAACCCAAAGAATATAATAAAAAGAAGGAGACTGGAACTTTGAGAGATGGAGCACAGAAAGTCATATGTGCTCGTCGCGCTCTTCGCATTGCTTCTCTTGACCGAAGTTGTCATTGCTCAGAGCGATGGCGGCAAAGGCAATGGTGATAATGGAAAGGGCAATGAAGTAGACAAGGGTGAAGGAGATTATGGCAAAGGTAATGGTAACGGTAACGGTAACGGTCCAAAGGACAAGGACAAGGAGGAGGACAAGGAGAAGAAGGATAAGGACAAGAAGGAGAAGGACAAGAAGAAGAAGGAGGAAAAGGAAAAGAAGGATAATGAAAGGAAGGAAAAGGAGAAGAAGGAAAAAGAGAGGAAGGAAAAAGATAAGAAGGAAAAAGAGAGGAAGGAGAAGGAGAGGAAAGAAAAGGAGAAGAAGGAAAAAGAGAGGAAGGAGAAGGAGAAGAAGGACAAGGAGCAGAGTGAAGCGGCTGCAAGATACAGGGTGCTTTCACCGTTGCCTACAGGACAAGAGCAGGCGATGTGCCAGGCTCAGGGTGCATGTTATTACAAGACTCTTGTTTGTCCTGGTGAATGTCCCAAGAGGAAGCCCACGAAGAACAAAAACACCAAAGGTTGCTTCATTGACTGCACTAGCAAATGTGAAGCTACCTGCAAATGTAAGTACATTCAATTCATTGGTCACAACTGTTTTAAATTCAGTTTGCTTCTCGCACAAGTAATAACTTTATCAGGATTCCATTTAAAAAGAACATAGATTTCAGTGGTGCATGTATTGGTTACTTATGGTACAAGGAATAGGTTTGCTTATAACCCTAGGAATTTGTCTTAATTCTGGTTTTATTATTTTTAACAGGGAGAAAAACGAACTGCAATGGCTACGGTTCTTTGTGCTACGATCCTCGATTTGTAGGAGGAGACGGTGTGATGTTCTATTTCCACGGATCCAAAGGCGGAAACTTTGCGATCGTTTCAGACAACAATCTTCAGATTAACGCTCACTTCATTGGTACAAGACCCGTTGGAAGAACCAGAGACTTCACATGGGTTCAAGCCCTAAATGTCATGTTCGAAAACCACAAGCTCGTGATCACAGCAAATAGAGTGTCTCAGTGGGATGAAAAGGCTGACGCTTTTACCATCAGATACAACGACGAACTCATCACACTCCCTGAAGACGAACAATCTGAATGGAGAGCAATTTCGGGACAAAAAAGAGATATCGTCATCGAAAGAACCGATGAGAGAAACAGCGTGAGAGTCCTTGTCTCCGGTCTTGTTCAGATGGACATCAAAGTGAGACCTATAGGGAAAGAAGAGAACAGAGTTCACAACTATCAGTTGCCGCAAGATGACGCTTTTGTCCATCTTGAGACTCAGTTCAAGTTCTTAGACCTAAGTGAGCTCGTCGAGGGTGTTTTAGGGAAAACCTACCGTCCTGGCTACGTCAGCTCCGCCAAGACTGGAGTCCCAATGCCTGTGATGGGAGGAGAAGACAAATACCAAACGCCTTCTCTGTTCTCGCCGACTTGCAGACTCTGCAGGTTTAAGCCTCACGAAGTATCACTCTCTGCTGATATCTAATGAGATGAAGAAGATAGATGGAACCTTCTATTGTTTTTAAATATAAATTCATGAAAAATTCGTATCTGTCACTGTTTTGTTTCTGAAAATATTTTATATTCATAAAAAACTAATGTAATAAGAGCCAAGAAGATAAGACTTGGTCCGTTTGTGATGTTTTTGAGGGTTTAACAAAAAGGTAAGACGTTTCTTGCGCCAAAAGTAAACCCTTGGTTTCTTATTTTGTCCTTGTTCCTTTTGTTGTGTTTTGTATACGAATAAGTTTAACTAATAAATATAAAATTTAATTTAGTGTGTATAGTAATGTATTTTGAAACTGACTTTGAATTTCTTGGATCCATTTTTTCTGTATTTTCTTCACTTTGAAAGCAAGTGTTTTTTTTGGGCAACTCAAGAACAACTGGAGATGCTTAAGGGGCACATTTTTTGGATAAAACTATAAACCAATAGCAAAAATCAGATTTAAAATAAACAAATAAGTCAGTCCAATCAAAAGAAGCTTGCAAGTTTCTAGGCATAGTTTCATGTGATCCAAGGAAGTTAAATTATACAGTATTACACCCCCACATGAGTACATGGCTTCAAATACCATTTAATTATAAAAGTTTAATCATATGAAATTAATATATAATGTCAACTCCGTAATAATGATTAGTTATACAACCATTCGTGGTTTGAATTTCTTTTTATCATGTATATATTGCATGTGTAGATCCGTCTTAAATGGTTCTCACTAGCTACTCGTCCATAATCTACGAATAGCTATTGTGGGTAAACACATCATCCACGGTGCGCAGAGATAATGTGAAAATTTAGATGTTACTAATTTTAATAATTGTGCTAGATCTAGTAGATGATGTTAAAAAGATATCCTAATGTTATTTTGAAAAAGTTGAAATAGTTATCACGTCTAACTAGTTTTAAAAATAGTCATTTAAAGTATATACTTATATTATAAAAACATATGTTACTAATTTGGATAATGAAAATGTTGAAATAGTATATAGAATCTTCATTTTTATTTGGGTTGAATAATTAAGTTGTGAGGAATCATTATGTGGCTTCCTAACATTCAGCCGATTTTCTCTCCAAATTGCTAATCAAGCGTTCCATTCGATGATATAGCCAATAGTCATATATCCATACGTACATATACATATAGTCACTTAGATATAGCGATATAGGAGACCGCCTATTTGTAATTCTTCATAAAATTATTAAAAGTCGTAGATTTAAGTTTCGAGAGGCTATATCTAACAGACTAATATATACAAGCTGTGCAGGTATCTTTGAACAAGAAATCAGAAAAATAAACCGACTATTTTATTTGTCAAATATATATTTACGCCAAACACATATATTGTATGTACATATATACATCAACGTAAAAAGATGTAGACGTTTCAAAGTTCAAACGTGTGTTTCTGAAGCGTTTCAGCATCTTGAAATCCAAATCATATTGCTTCAAATTATATACTAACACAACATTCTACAACATGCATCAACTTTTTCACGTTACATTTCTAGAATAGCAACCCTTCTATTTTATGGTTGACCAAATCTCTTAATAATACTATATTTGAATAGCAAACCGTATGTCTTCATAAAAATAAGGTCTAATGGATTCACACTTTGTATTACCAAAATATCTTTTGAACAAAATTTGATATTACTTTTGAAATTTATGCAGGTATGCCAAACTTTTTTTATTTTATGGTATCCTAGCAGATTAGATTAACAAAAACTTTGAACTATATATGTCTGATTTAACCACCTAATGCTCACCTTTGGTTAATGATTTATTTTTGTTTCCTATATATATATAGGCTGACTTGTCCGGTTGTCCCTAACAAGAAATGCATTTTTTTTTTTTACAATTAAATATTCAGGTCAATATTTTGAATCGAGTGGTGATGCTCCCAAAGAATTTAATAAACAAAAGTCGAAGCTGTTTCTTACACGGTCTTCTATTGTTCATGTGTTTCGATCACATCTGGACCGTCAATTAAGCCGCTCTCTGCTGCTTACTTACAGCCTCTCTGATCTATAAGAACACTCCCTCCACTTCTCTGAAATCAAAATACAAAAAAATTCTAAAACAAAACACCGTTTCTTCTTTAAAGTCAAAGATAATGTTACGAGTCCTCGTGATTATCATCGTTCTTGTCTCTGTTTTCGCCGTTTCAGCGACAGAGAAAGGGAAGAAAGGTGCTTATGATGCAGCTTCAACGAACTACAAGGTGTTGTCTCCACTTGGCTCTGGCCAAGAGCGAGTTCAATGCTTGGCGAGAGGATCCTGTAACCAGAAGATCCTCACTTGTCCAAAGGAATGCCCCGAAAGGAAACCGAAGATGAACAAGAAGGAGAAAGCTTGCTTCATCGATTGCAGTAGCAAATGTGAAGTCACCTGCAAATGTAAGTCCAAAATCTCAACATTTTGGAACATCTTAAAAGCGCAAATCTTGATGTGAGATTCGTTAGTCCTAACACACATACTATTCTCTGATTTGCGTTCTTGAACAGGGAGGAAAGCAAACTGTAACGGGTATGGTTCTTTATGTTACGACCCAAGATTTGTTGGAGGAGATGGAGTGATGTTCTACTTCCATGGAAACAAAGATGGAAACTTCGCAATCGTCTCTGACGAGAATCTTCAAATCAATGCACATTTCATCGGTACAAGACCCGCTGGTAGAACCAGAGACTTCACATGGGTTCAAGCCTTCTCAGTCATGTTCGATAGTCACAATCTTGTAATCGCGGCCAAGAAGGTTTCCTTTTGGGACGATTCTGTAGACTCTCTCGTTGTGAGATGGAACGGAGAAGAAGTTGAAGTCCCGACAGGAGGTGAAGCAGAGTGGAGAATCAATCTTGAAGAAAGGGAAGTTGTTGTTGAGAGAACAGACGAGAGGAATAACGTGAGAGTCACGGTATCTGGGATTGTTCAGATGGATGTTCAAGTTAGACCAATTGGGAAAGAAGAAGATAGAGTTCATAAGTATCAGTTGCCTGAAGATGATGTTTTTGCTCATCTAGAGACTCAGTTTAAGTTCTTTAACTTGAGTGATCTCGTCGAGGGCGTTTTGGGGAAAACATATCGGCCTGGGTACGTTAGTCCGGTTAAGGTCGGAGTTCCCATGCCGATGATGGGTGGAGAAGACAAGTATCAGACTTCTTCTCTGTTCTCACCTCTTTTTTTCGCCCACTCGGCTCC